TACATTAGGCATATGACCGCTTTCAAATTAATTAAATACATACATATATGCTCCTATGAGTAGAGGTGGAGGAATGATGAAAAACCAACAAAAAGAAAATTTTCGTCAATATTTGGAGTTCCGAGAAAAAAAAATTTGGAAACACCGGCACAAAAAAAAAAGTTGTGTTTGCTTATAACCAGATCCATTTAACCATGATAAAAACATAGCAAGGTATAACCGTTCTCTCAATTTGTCGGCCATGATTTTTTTTTGAAGTTTGCCAACATTTTAAAATCATATAAAAGTGAAAATAAAAAATTGAAATTGTACGAAATTGTTGTTGCTTGAGATTGAAAATGAAAATGTGTGTGTGAGTTTGTGAGTAAATTTAAAAATTAAATTGTTTGGAAACGTCAAGAATTTTAAAAGTGACTCTCAGCGGTTCTACCTTACTATATTTTTATCATGCATTTAACGACATGTATTTCGACCCGAATCTGAGACCCGTTTGACTGGAACACCCTCAAAATATCTAGTAAATCGCGAAAATTAAAAAAAAAAATTCTCAATTTTCGCAGTTTGATCGAAATTTTGAGGGTGTACGGGTCAAACGGACCTCCGACTCGGATTCAGCGGGTCGAAATACATGTCGGTAGGTAGGTCTGATAAAATGCACAGACCACTTTTTTCCTTCTACAAACTTCTAGTAAATTTCGAAAAACCGGAAAGAGGCAAAAAATTTCCTAATTTACTGGAAATTCTGAGGGTGTACGATTCAAACGGAAGGGATTCGGATGCCCCGGTAGGTGGGTCTGGGTAAAAGCCATAATTAATTAAAAAAAAGAAGCCATATGACTAATGTATGTACATATGTAGGGGTTTAATTGAGTGTATAGCAGGCCGTGAGTGTGTAGCATAAACATCATGTTGACCGAAAAGAAAATGGCCAGCAAGTGAACTTTTTGGAATATATGAAGGAATTTACTTATAGAAAAGTACTACATACATATAGACTATGTTAGTATGTACAATGTACTTGCAAATGGACCGAAGAATTTTCACTTTCGAAAAATTTTCTGCACATGTACTTATTTTTGTATTTTTCTATATATGTACATATGTATGAAAGTATTTATGTAGTAATTTTCCTGGCAGCTGGGTAACACTTGTGGAAAATGTGTGCATGTTTGTATGTACGCACGCAAGTAGTGTTTCATGCTGCTGGGCAAATAGAAAAAAAAATTGCTCACACCACATTAACCAGCGCTATGAGATCATAATCAAGACTAGTTAGAAGAGGCTGAAGAATAAAAGTGAATATAATTAAAAATGCAACAAGCGTTATGCTTAAAAGGAATTAAATTTTTGCCGCTAGTAGCAAACTTTTCCAACCGCCTGTTTATGTGTATTTAAATGTAGTGCAAGTGCAAATTGCATTCGCTGTAATATGAATTAAATTCGAGTCCAAGTTCATGCAAATTCATCATAGCTTACTATGCGTACATTGCCTTGCTTGTTTATATTTTGCTCGTAGCAATTAACGCATCCGTCTTGTTTCATTTTTCGGCATCTTTTTAAGCTTTGTTTGAGTCTCGAGTATTGTGGGCAGTTTTATAATTAATATGCATCGCGCACAAGAATAGTACATATGATGCCGCTCATATGTGTTAATGAATTAATTGTTCAAATGAAATTGTTTGATGGGATGGAAATGAGTGTGAGCTTTAATCGTTGCAGAATCACTGGAACACTCTTAAAAATAAAACTAAATACTATTACTTATGGAACATACTGTTGCAAGTTAAAATGTTTTTGAGTTAAAACATCGAATAAGTTCATGTAAAGTTTGACGATTTTTTCAATAAACTTTCAATGATTTTTGAGATATTCCTCGACAGGAAAGGATTTCTGCATGGTATTGTGAATGGTTATGTTGAAGTTCCGGGCACTTCTGCTCCCTTTTCTAAAATAGAAAATCCTGCATTCACGGCTCTGGTGTTGAGTCCGAGGATGTCAATGTCATCAAAGAAATCCTCGATAGGTAGCCTTCCTGTCTTAAACCTCGTGTGGTCTCGCACGTCGCCGAGAGGTCCTTTTCAATTTGGAAGGAGCTAAAAGTTTCTCTTAAAATTAGAAAACTTAGCTGTAGTTTTTAGTTTTGCAGGGATATGAAATTCCGACGCGGTGCTATAAACGCAGCTTCTCTTCGTGCTAAATATGAAAAGCGGTTTTAAAATCGAAGAAAGGGTGGTATTTATTGATTTGTTTATCTGAGATCTTTACTGGCATTTGACGAACTGCTAAAATCTGGTCGGGGGTGGATTTGACTCTTAGAATGGAAGACACTAGTACTGAAGCTGAAGAACTTAACCTGTAGAAGTTCAGTTTATAGGATAACCGCTAAATTTTCCGGATCCACCCGTGAACGTGCTTTGCGGCAGGCAGATAAGACCCGTATATTTCGAAGCAGGCATAACCCGCCCGAATACTTTCATGCTCGTCTTTCGGTGCAGAACAATCGCTTAAAAATGCACTGACTTAATGGCGTTTGTTATGGTACTCTTATTGATACACAAAATGGTGTCCCTACTGCGTTATAAATAGGAAGTGAGTCCCCTTGAATTACGATTTTTATAAACTAATTTCAATCCTATGGCCGCTACTAAATTGTTATGATAATTGATTTAATCTTAAGCATATACTTGGCCACAACAGAAATGCCATACTTCACAGTCGTGAATGAACTTTCAGTTTCTCAATAACTTTTACAATTCTTTTGTTGTAATTGAAAAAACCAAAGTTCTCTTGAATTTCAGGTAATGTGAATTGCAGAACCTGCTAATAATTTTTAAATCGTTTATTATAAAAAAAAAACATCTTAACGGCTTTCAAGTTTCCTTAAATGCCACTAAGTGGACTAGGGCTTCTGTGTCCGTTTTGTGGATCTTGACTTTTCCGAAGCCATAGTTAATCTTCTTATCACTTCTCGCTTTTATGTCCAAATTGTTCGTCGTTCAGTACCACCAAGATATCGCTAGGTTTGTTAACACCAAATTCCATTCCCTGGGCCATTATGGAATATATCGGACTTCAGCAACTTTCAGACGACCTCCTATTTTATTAACCGCAAACTTTTTTACTTACGGATCCCAGTAAGCAGGATAGCACCTGTACATGATGAGGATGAATCTCAGTTGTCCCGCTTCAGATGTACATATGTATGTATGTAGCTCTGTTTTTGCCAGTACGGGTGGGATCTACTTACATTCGTATCTAGGGATTCTGCTAATTAACTATTGTTCTCATCTATGGCACTTATGATCTTGTGATTTTTTGACAAATGATCGATAACAGACTTTTTCCGTTTCGCTGCCGTTACTGAAGTTACTTCCACGGTTCATTGGTGCGAATACACACGATACGATATGGAAATTCTGAATTAATGACTTCACTCTTAGAATGGCTTCTACCAATATCACGGAGTGCTCCTGATTATCGACGATGCTAGCGAGACAACGATCCGAACGTCATACTTCGTTAGTGGCTTTAGAGGGGTGCGTTCTGTAAAGCCCTTGGCCCCAGTACAGGCCATTAAGCTGACTCCCTGTTCATTCATTATTACTCAGCTATTGTTTTTGTGCATGCTTAGTCCTGCCTAGATCTGATATTGCTTCAATCAATCTCGTCAGCGCAGAAAATGTGCTGTTTCGTCGGAGTCGGGCCACACAGAGAGGGAGTGTTAGTTGGGTAGTGAGTTGAAGCATGTGAAGAGGTAGTTAGCGTTGTGGGGAAAGCCTTCACGTGCCGGACACCGAATTATTTGTGTTTGTGCTACGTATATCTCGATTTTTCCAAATTTGTAAGAGAAACAAGCCTTTGAACTTCCCTAACAGGGCGTATACTAGCGGGTGATTCCCAAATGTGTAAAAATACATACATATATACGAAAGAATGCTGGTCATATTTCTATGCCAGTGCAAAAAAAAGACAAAAATACAAATTGTGTAAGCATCAGAAACATTCGTACAATTGCATCTTATTTATCTACTTATGCTTTTTTAAAAAATTTAATTTTTTTTCTACCAAAATTAGCTGTTTAACACTTTCCCTTTTTCATCAGTATAAATACCTTAACAAACATTTTATGCTCTGCTTAGCGTAGCACTATTTTCTCTACAACTTCAATTANAAAAAAAAAAAAAAAAACACAACAAAGTATGCGATATGTATGTAAGTGGACACCTTTGCAGTTAACAGCACATTTATGTTACACAGAACGTTTACTATTTCAACATTGCAGACTCTTTTCTCAAATTAAAACATGAATTTTTCTACAATATTTTTTTCCTAAGCAAGTTGTGTTCTTAAATTTGTAAATGCATACGAACTTGCATAGTTACATACATATGTATGTATGAATGTATGTACTATGTGCACTATATGTATGTATGTATGCAGTAAAGTTATGTGTGTATTGGTACAGATAGTTTCTATCAGTTGCATGCGCCTGCATTATATCAAATTGTTTTTACAAGAATTTTTTAATTTTTTCACTACAACAGAAACCCACAGAGCGATAAGTCCAAGGCAGAAAACAGCGCAAGAAAAACATGTGATGGGCCTAAGCCCAGCAGCAGAGCCAGCAAGCAGCAAGAGAGGAAAAAAATTAAAAAACCCATGAAGAAGAAAAGAAAGCAAGCGATATGAAATGCACCCGAAGAATGTTAACGGAAGCATAATAAAATGGTGCGCCGCCGTTCGCAGTAAAAGTTGCTGCTACTATTTATCACAAGTCACTTTTATGCTTGGAAGAATTTTAATTTTAATATCCTTTTATCTGTACGTACACACATGTATGTATGTATGTACGTAGGTATGTATGTATTAACAATTAGGTGTGTACTGAAACTTTTTCATTCACAATTTGCAGTATTTATAGCAAAAAAAAAAAAACACTTTTATCCACAATATTTTTCATTCATTCTACAAAAAATATGTAAAATGAAATCCATACTCACCATTGCTCGAGTCCAGTTGTTGATAAAAACCCATTTTCCTCTAGCACATATGGCGGTATGTATGCATGTACATAAAATATTTATGCTGTCTGTAGTTAGTTAGTTATATATATTTATGTAGGCACACACACTCTTGCATACATATACTATACAATATGCATATTATTATACACACACAACCGTACCAAGTACATATACATATATGTATATATTTTTTAATTTTCTCAAAGACCGTAGCTCCGTCTAAAAATATCCGTCTTAACGAACTGACTCCACAAGATCACCGCTCAACACTGAACGAACGTCTCGAAGCAATACGACTCACAACTGGGAATTGGAGATCAACCAATTCAACCGATGAGATTGCCTACACCAGCGCGATGAGCGTGCATTCAGCAGATACTCTTGCTGCGATCGACCACTCAGTAGAGGATTTGCTCAGCAAGCAAAGGGAATTACATTAAAAACATTGAACAATTTATCTACAAGCAGACAAAAGTTATATGCATATGTGTGTGTGTGTGTGTGAAATCGGGCAAGCGGTATGCAAACACAACTTCATATATATATAGACTGGCCAAAAGTAGTGCGTCTACCTTTGGCTAGGCGGTAAAAAGTCAAACATTGCTATACACAAAGGTAGCTAAGAATATAAACAAATCTCAGCCGATGAGGTAAATGCACAAAAACACACTTCCATTAACGAGTACGCGTATATATGTAGTTATATATGTACAAAGTATCTGCATAGCTACGTTTATAGCTGAGCGTAACCGACAGGTTTTTTTTTGGCTGGCGTTTTGCCGGCTAGCTGGTTGGTTGAGTTTGCTCTGTTTGGAGTTGATGTCACTGACGTCCACTCTCTCGACTGGCTCCAGCTGGCAAGGTAGAGTGCAATATTTGAATTTACGATTGCTGAAATTTTATGGTTTATGGTAAAAGTTTATCGGTTTTCATGCACAGCTAATTTTTAGCGCTTTGAGTTAGGAGAGAAAGAGCATACAAGTTGGATTTGCTCTTTGCTTAGGGTATTTTTGTTTTAAATTTCAAGGAACTCTATGCTAACAAAGAAAGGTGTGGCTGCACTTTAACACTATTTTCAGCAAGTTGGTCTGATATTTACAAAAATTTGGTTGATTTACGTTTAATTTAGAGTGACTGTTATGATAACTAAAAGCTGAGTGCAGAAAACTTAGTCAAAGAAAGATACAACGCACCGGATTTGACGCATCCTATAGACCCCAAAAATTAATAAAAAATTGTCAGCGGAGATTTTTTACTATCACTTTTTCGTACATCGCACTGTATTTCCTGGATACACACATGCAACAGTGATCGAAGTAGTGTTTGTCATTGTATGCGTTCAACCTCACTTTCCCAAACTGTTCCCATTCAATGTTTAAAGCAGAGTTTTAGGCGCAAGCATATTTGACACGGAAGTAGCGAGAAATAAATATGTAATACATGTGTATGTATGATTTTTATGTTAAAATAAAATATCTTACCTCTGATTTGATTTCGGCATTGTTGCAGCAGAATTTCTTTCCAGCGTTTTGAATATTTCAGCTAAAATGCGAACGTGTGGTTGGGTTAAAAGAACTTTTACGGAAAAAAACAATTTTTAATTCGCTAATAGAGAAGCGTATAGCCGGGCTCCAATTCCTAATTTTGTGTTCTACGATTTCAAGAAAATATTTACGTTTTCATTTCACCGATAAATCGATAAAATTTTATCGACTCCAAAAATTGGAGCACACCTATATAACATTTCGTTTAATACATATTAATTAATTTCGTCTTTTTACCAGAGTTTAATCACTTTTTAACAGGGACGGTAATCATTATAAGTAAAATAATCTAATAAATATACCACAATAAGTGCTTTGAAGATTTTTATAAAGTCTCATTCAAGGCTAAATATCTGCATACATAAATGACCGTACACATGTACATACATATGTACATTAGACTGCATCCCCAAAAAAGTTGCGGAACGTCCACCAAAATATTTCGGAAAAATATTAAGATTTACGTGAGCTGGACGTCCAAAAATGGAGTTTTTTTATGAATAAAAATAGTTTCTTATATAACTTTTTGAAAAAAAAGTCTACTTAGATGACAAAACAGCTTAAGCTTAAAAAATCAGCACAAAAATATTTAAAAATCTTTTCAACGGAATCGCAATGATGTTTTGATGTTGTTTTCTTTTAACTTTTTTCAAGATTGATTTACGAAAACTTGAATAACTGGGCCAAAATTATTCCGATTTAGACTTATATTACATTTACATTGGACCAAAATGCGTGATTTGAAATCAGTCATTTGAAGGTGTTTACACTGCTTGATCCGCATTTGCTTTGACTTCTCATCAAATGAAAAGGGAAGACAAAAACAAAATGTATGTAAACAAACACTACATTTATTATATTGTTAACGCTTTTTGGACACAAAAAGGCAATTATTCTTTGATTAAACTAAAAATGTGTAAAGCTCTTGTATAAATTAACAATTTTTACACACAAATTTCAAAGATTTATTTATTTCGTTGTGTTTGTTTTGTGTTTGAAAAATTCCAAATGTCAAAGACAAACCAAAGCTTTTGTGGAACTTTTGTTTCTGAGTGCGTTCAATAAAATAGTACGGCAATTGGAACGCATTTGTTTCGTGATTTTGTGTAAATGCGTCGAAATGCGTCATTCTGGAAATGTGAATTTGTATGGAGAAATGCGTGATTTGGCCTCGCATTTGAGGTTTCTCGCCCAAATGACGCATTTGGGCTCAATGTAAATGTAATATAAATGTAATATTATGTAGGTATTAGTAGAAAGCTATTTTCTCACTCTTTTTATTACTGTGCAAAAAAAAAAACTTATTTAGGACCCAATTTTTTTTTTTCAAATACCAACACATCTTAATTAAACTTGTAATGACACTCGTTCATCCCACCTTTCTCTTTCATCCTTTGAATGAGTTTATTAGCAAAGGGTGAGAAAATACCTTTCCAATAACGCCTCACAAGCCTAAAGCGGAGTAGTTTAGGTTCAGTTATTCAAGTTTTTCTTATACCAATCTTTGAAAGAAATTTAAAAACAGCATCAAAAATCGCATTATTACAATTCCGTGGAAATATTTTAACATTTTCTTTTAAATATTTTTATGCAAATTTTTTAATCTTAAACCGTTTTTTCATTTAAGGGAATTTTTTCGAAAAAACATCTTTGAGAAACCATTTTTATTCATAAATAATTTTTGGAGGTATTTTCAAATCGGTCCAGCTCACGTAAATCTTAATATTTGTTCGAAATATTTTAGTGGAAGTCTTAAAATATAATAGATTTTATAATTCCAATGGAAGCACAGTATGTATCAATTTTTTTCTATGGGGAGTGATGCAGCCTAATGTACATACATACATATGAAGCGCCAGATTTACTGTCCTTTAATTAAACCATAGACCGTAACTGCATAAACTCAACTAAACTTTACACGTTCGCAATGTGACGATAAACCAAATGGCAGCTGCGACTGCGGTACCAACCATTCGATTTTCTATTTTAATATTTAGTTATGTGCAAAAATGTAATTATTCCTCCTATTAATTTAAATCCTTATCTGAAACGAACAAACCTTATTAAAATAACTCTAATATTTATAACAAACACTGCAACTCTGAAAATTCAACGTAACATGTTCGTATTTAACGACTAAAAAAGATGGCTGCCGCGGCTGTTTTATGAAAACTTCGTGTTTTTATTTGCATTCATATATTTTTTAGTACGCCTGCCCAATTTTTTTCAAATTAAAGTGATATGTACATATATGTATAATTGTAATATTTATTACCATTTATATTATCATTTCTCACTTTTATATGTATTAATCTTATAAGAGTCGTAGCACTTGCACAAAGAACTCCAATTAACCGTACAAATGTTCGCTTCAAACGACGCCGGAAGATGGCGACGCCGACTTACATTTTCGTTTACGCTTTTTTTCTTTATGTTTTGCACTTGTTTCGTTGCACGTATTTATGTTGAATTATACACTTTTAGTTAAATGAACTGGAAACTATTAGCTGCACTATTAAGGGCCAGTTATATGTAGGTAGTTTTACTTTTCACTTGAATTGTAAAATATTCAAACACGCAGAGCTATTTTTCTTTATGCACATCCGGCGGAAAAATTTACGAATTGGATTCGGCAGCTACAAGTTGCCACTTGTTTCAAAACATTAAACAAGCTACATTCTAATTTTTATATTCCATTTATTAACATCAAACGTTAACATAATTTATTAAAATATTTTCTTCAGACAGCTTTTGCATTAAGTTTTAAATTCAGCAGCATTAGTTAGCAAAACAAGAGTGTCAATTTAATGAAATAAAAATCATTTCCTGTTGAGCGCAATTACATGGCAGCTTTACCGGTTTTAGCTTCCACATTCCATCCACTTTTGAACAGCTGTTTGGCAGGGTTGCTCACTTTCGGCTGCTTGCACGGCGAATTGCAACGAATTGTTTTTCAGTCATAAAACGCGCGTCGGCTGATTTGGTTAAATTTTCGTTGTTATCGCGGTTGCCGCACGTTTATTCTTGGTCTGCTAGACATATTTATGTATTTGTGTGTGTGGGTGAATCAATGTTTGGAATTTGAATTGCATAGCAAAAATTTATAAGAATTAGAAAAAGTAAACAAATTCGAAAACTCATAAACAAATGATGTGCAATGATGCTAAGCGAATGGCTAGCATTAAAATAAATTCTGTTTTACGAGCTGTTGTTTGTAATAAATATTAAGAATATTTTTTTGTGTCTGGAAAATTTGGTGGCGAAAAGTATTACCCCTACTTGTGTTCTTCATATATTCTTGAAATATACAAAGAAAATTTTAACGCAAGCTGTGCATGTTTTGGATAATTGCGAAAAAGCAAATTCTCCTATTTGTGAAAATCATCTGCAAAGTGTTTTGTGTATAACAGCGGAAAAGCCGCATTGCGAAGTGTGTGTGCAGCGCAGCGCAGCTGTAGGAGGAAGTAAGTGGGTGGCTACTAGCTGAATGCGTGTTGAACGCGAATGTCCTTCAAGAATTTTGCGCAAATGTCAAGTAAAAATGTGTTGTAAAAAGTGTATAAACAATTATTAAACGCAGAAATATCAAATAAAAGTGCAAAACGAAGCAAATAAACAGCAGAGTGCATTTTTCGAAGTTGTGGGGTGCCGTTTGCGGCGCCCACAGTATTACCATTGATTACTCATCGTCTCGATAAAATAAAAAAAGTTACCTACATATAAGCAGTGTCTTCCCAGCCGTCGACCTTTTCCAAGTATCAGAAC